GAATAAATTTAGTCGATTATTTAATGTCATAGTACCAGTATAATACAATTATTTAAGTTTAAGTATATACTTTCCTGACTGTGTTTCAATTCCAAATCACAATTAATTCCTGGGTTTCAGTCATTTATTGTCTTTATTTATCAATTAAAATACGTTTCGGTGTATTTTTCCACCATCATCAGTTTTTATGTGTAGCGTTGCTGCAGCTTAAAAGTTGATCAATTTGAAAGTTGTATGCAACTGCAACTGTCAGAACATCGATGTTGTCAAATGTTCGATGTTTTCGATCGATATTACCTTTCGATGTCAACATTGATGGCTAACATCGATGTTATACGATCCATGTGCCATCCCCAATCTGAGGTATTGTGGGTTACCGGTGATACAGGGTGTTCGCCAATTTTTTCTACATACTTTCTGAGCTGATTTTTGCCGCTTGAATGGTTTGGGCCCTTTTTGTTTGGTTTTTTCTATTGCTGTTTGATATCGATATATTAGCTTAGCTTTAGCCATCCACCCGGTATATGGCGGCAAATGTGGGCGGAGCAACCAATGGCGTCTCTTTAGCACAGCGTAGATACCAGAAAATATTCATATAAATCCTAGTGTATTTGTTGTGCCGACTTCAACACAAAAAAACCTTCCAATTTGTCGGTTGTGGTTCTGCAACCAGTATCGTGCCCAAAGGGCTTCCTGGACATTAACTAAGCTTAATTAAGCTCTTATTTGCTAGTTAAACTCGTATGTTGCTGTTTAAGAAAGTGTTGAGTGAATTATCGCAATCTCGTTAGTTTGCAACGCATTTGTCGCTTTGGGGGAAATTTTTAAAATATGCCGCGTTCCAGGATGCCGCACTTAGTAACAATCCACGCCGATTTTAGTGTCGATTTCTTGACCAAATCGGTTCAAAGCAATTGTTTTCTTCACTGCGCCGCTACGCAAACCACTTTGGTGCTGAAATTTCAAGCAAGCCCAAGGTGGTGCGTTCTCAATTGCTCCTAATGCGTGCATTGTTTGCCCGATGAATCAACAACGTTTTACTAATAAAGGCGAACAATAGAACAATTTTGCTTGTAATTAACGCTGCGCGTTGAAAACTCAACAATTTGTCGGTTTTAACGCAAGCTAAAACTGCGATTATTCGGGCCGTTTTGGGTTGAATAACAAACGAAAACCACTTCCTTTAACGGAATATGGCAACTGGAATTAGTAGATGACGACCAGTGAAGGTTAAAAATTAAAAAAAAATATAAAAAGTAACTAGCAGAGCGTGGTTTCGATCCACGGACCTCTGGGTTATGGGCCCAGCACGCTTCCACTGCGCCACTCTGCTCTTGAACGGTTTAGTTGTAATGCGCCTGAAATCAGCAATGTCGCTCACAATTACCTTGGCTTGAAACGTTTGGAATTTTCAACGTGACATTAATAACAGACCCATAATTTATGATTAGAAAGTAAGGTGCTCCATTAGAGCGTTTGCAAATGTCCAGATTTAAGGTCAGCCATTTCCTGTAAAAAACTTCACTTAATGGCTCCATCATAATCAAGTGCGCAGTTTCTAAAAGGCGCGTCTATTTTGTTTCGCTTATTTAGATCGCTAATTTGCGTCAAGCTGTCAAAAAACGCCAGTTCAGTTTCTGTACACGTCAAGCTTGACTGAAACTTTGACAGGGGAAAGATCGGGAATTGCCGATCCGACCAGACAAAGATGGCCTATGCCTATGCCCCTCTCTCTCTTGCTCCCGTTTAAAGTGATAGAATTTCCTGATAAAAGTGTGTTTTTCTTCGATTTGCAAGCACCGCCTGTACATGCACCGGCACCATTGATTAGCAGTTGCCTCACGTCTTATTCAACGCGACCCCATATTGGCTAATTATGGCACAGGAAGCAGTTAGTGCTGAAATTTTCGGATGCTAATTGCCTGAGTGACTTGAAACAATCAAGGTGCCTGGGCAAGGTCGTCGCGGATTGTAAATGATGCGCGCCCGAATTTAGCGATTTTTCTGGTTTTTTTTTGTTAATTTGCCCCCTTAGCAAGTGTTCCAAGCAGTTCCGTGAGTTGCATAAGACTTGAAAGCACCAGATAGATCTTCCGTTGTTTCGCTGCTCTACTAACTCGAGTGATGGTTTATGCGGTATTTTATAGACCGATAAGTAAATATTGCAACACCAATTACATATAATTGCCATTGGTTGCATGATCACAACTTGTCTGTCGCAGGGGCGAATCCAGCTTTTCCCTCCCGTTTTTGCTAATTTCTCGGAGGCAGAATGGGCAAAGAAAGAAAAAGAAAATTAGAAAGTGCTGATGGGGGGGCATGACCCCCATAACCCCCCCCCCTGGATCCGCCCTTGTTTCAACAGAGCGGCTCAAGGACTATCGTTGTCTAAGAAAGAATTATCAGAAATTTCTGAAATAATGAGCAATTCAACAACTGAGTCAACCAGCTGACACTGCCTATATCATAATCCATAGTCCGTGTGTTCGATGAACTCACAGCAGGCAACCATACATGCTCTGCCCCAAGCAGTTTGAAATTTGAATATCAGACATTTAGGTGCAAGATTATGTCAAAATTTCATGTTTTCCGTCCTGTTTTTGCTCATTTCTCGGAGGCAAAATGAGCAAGAACGCTCATTTGTACATCATTCTAGACAGAAATAAATGGCCTTTTTAGAAAGTGAACCCTGGATGGGGAAATG